ATACGCACAATGTTAAGTCTGTCACCTGCAGCAGCAGCAAAATCAATGGATTTCAATTTAGCATACTCATTTTCACCAAGAATAAAACCATGTTGAGCTGCTTTAGCTTCTTTACCGGTTAAGGTAAGTTTATGACATGCAGCACCAAATGTAATACTTAAATGACCAGCATTACCAACAGTAACAGATCCTATAGAACCAATAGTTATATTATCACCATTAAGTTGCAAGGTCCTATTTACGTTAGCAAGATCGAGTGCTTGAAATACTACATTATTTTGATCAACAACAACATTAACCCAAGCATTATTAGCTCCAAAAATTAATGCTTTCCCACTAGTAAACACAGCACCAGCAGCACCAGCAGCACCACCAACAACAGTAGCTTGATCAAAGTGATTCTGAGAAGTTACAGCATCATTCTGAGTAGTTATCATACCATTAGCAGCAGCAGCAGTACTACTCCCTCCAATTACCACCGAAGCAATTGAAGCGGTGGTTAGCAAGTTTCTTAAAAATTTATTTTTTTTATTATCCATAATTTTTCCTATTTATAGTTAATTTATTTGTCTATTACAATTTCTTGGGTTATTTAAGCTATAATACCAGCACGCTTTACCCTATAAATATAAATTGCTTATAATAGATACAAAACATGAGGATACTATATATATAAAAATAGTTAATTACAAGCTAGTTATTAAGTTTTCACCAAATATTTAGTGATGTTGTGATATATTTGAGACAATAAAAATCTACTTATTATCCCTTTTTAATAATTTTCAATAGACTTCTTGCATAAATCAAAGAAAGTTCTCGGGATTTTTAGAAGAAACGAAGCCGAGCACCGCAGCGTACACGCGCGTACGTGAGGAGCGAAGGCAAGTTTCGACGACAAAATCACCAACTAGATTGGATTTATGCAAGAAGTCTAATAACCGCACTAAAAACCCTCCTATTATCAGTATAATAGATATCCAAATAAAACTCATCATTGGTTTATAATATATTTTGGCATGGATTATGTTATTGTCAATTTTATTTAAAACAGCATAAAGATCATGAGTTAAATATGAGTATATATTACTTTCCTGAGATAGCTGCTTCTCTATTATATAAAACCTATTCTCTGGTTTCAATATAGTAATATTATTCTGGTCTTGAACCCAGAATTCAGTAATCTGTCGATAATAATTGATTCCATGTGACACTCTAATATCTTTAAGTGTAATCTCTAACCCTTCGGCGTTTACTTTATCCCCAACTTTGCCTATAAAATTTATCTCTCTTTGTAATAATGAATTAATAGTAATGGCTAACACCAGTAATCCAAAACCTAAATGCCCTAAGATCATGGC